CCTGGGGAGGGTTTTCAGGGCTCAAGATCCGCAGGTGGGGTGATCCTGAGCTATTCCAGGATGCCCAAATCAAAACGAACGGCTGATGGTAAAGCTGATAGTGATGAGGACAGTGTGATGTGCATATCACCAGAACCCAGGCGATTTGAGGCACCTGTTTCTTGGCGACAACTCTTGGAATTTTGGTGTCAAGTGTAGGATATGCATGGCTATTTTTGATGATATCCTTCAAGCTATCTCCCTGCGCAAAGTTATTGTTATTGAGAGTCCATGCAGTGCATCAGTCTGACCACACTCCATCCACCCCTTTCCATTTCCATCCCGCGACTCTGGTTCTTCTTCTGAGGCTTTTGACTTGAGCACACTCCTCCGGGATAGTGCTGGTGTTCGCGACACTTCCAGCAAACCTTCCCGACCAGTTGGGCCTGCTCTGTCAGCTGCAAAAGCTGCCATTGCAAAGCCCAAAAGCCTCTCGCTTGCATGAGAGACCATGTGTGAGGTTGAAGTGGGATAAGTAAGTCAGTGGCCTACTATTTCTCTCTGGCTGAGGTACCCCAATGGAGACTGAGGATGCTTTGCCTCCCAGAGTCGGAACTTCGGAGGAATCTTCCCCGGATGAAAATAAAAAAGATGATTCTGGACAGGGTAAGCGGGAGAAGAAAACAAAGAAAAAAGAAAAAGATCAGAAACCCAAGAAGAAGCCTGAGAAGAAGAAAAAGAAAGCATCGGACAAAGATGACCATGACTTAGATCCACTTTTCAAAAAAGACAGAGATGATGAGAATGATGATGATGATGGTAATGATGCGGCGTCGGATGATCTTGAAGGGATTGAAGAGCTTTTGGATCTCAAGGGAGGGAAACAAAATGTGAACAAAAAACCTGCCGCATCATCAAAGTCAAAGGGGAGCAAGAGCACGAAGAAGCCTGGGAAGAAGAAACCTATGCATGCCGAGGAAACCACACCGGCAAACTTTGTACTGTATTTCTTTTGCTGGAACTACATTCTGACAGATGCAGGCTTTACAGGTCAATCTTCCAAGTGTATGCCTTGGCTGCAGGACCTACCCTTTAAGCATCTCATCGAGGAATTGCCGGACGCTGATGAGACTCCTGCTGATGGTGCTGCTGGTGCTGACACCTGGGTTGAGACTCCTGCTGATGGTGCTGATGGTGCTGACACCTGGGTTGGAAATGGCCCTGGATCACCAGAAATCTTTTCCCAAGATATCTTTGGCTCGCCGGGGAGGGAGGTGGCTGATCCCCACAAAGATGAAAGGACCATTTTGATATCATTTGTGCTTGACATTTTGAAGCTTTGGGTGTTTCCAGGGTACCCCTATAATTGGTAAACAAATTCATCTTCTCATCGCAGGATCTTCAATGAGTTGCCCGATGCTCCTGCTGAAGGTCGACCCTATTCGGACGGTGACGGTTATGACATCCCTGAGGTCGGTGACACGCACATGATGGACACAACACCTAAGATTCCTCCTCCTGCATGCCCGCCAACATGCATGGATACAGCGGCGTCGACGGAGTCGGAGGTGCAGTTTGTCCGTGGGCCTATTCTAGACCCTTTTGTATGGGCCGACGCCCAAGGGAGCCCAAGTCCAAGCCCAGCCACTAAGAATTAATCAGACTGTGTGCAAGTGAATCCCAAACCTTTGATTTAGTGCATCATGCAGTCACAGCCTGCCTACCAAAAGAGGAAACCTATGTTCAACCGCCCATCTGAGGTACCACGACCGATTGACCGTCGCCCTCCAGTCTCCCCGAACACCTTCCGGAACCTGGCCTCTGAGCTCGAGAATGCCGCCCAGCTACAACACTGGCATGATTGTTCTGACATGATTGTTGATTAGCACTGTTCGCAATACCTCTTTTGATTTCTCACATGTTCTCAATCACTATGATCATTCAGTGATGCCAGGGTATTCCACTGACTTTCTTGAGTTGTGGGTCCTTGCAACAATCTTTTGTGATCTTGCAAAAGTTAATCTATTTTGTGCCTATGAGCTCGTATATCCACGTTCATGTATTTACAAAATCACTCCAAGGCTGAAACTGCATCCACCACTGGTGATGGGAAGGACCGTCTGTGTTGTGGCTTTTCCATTTTGCCTCCAAGGCTCCCGCTAAAACATACTATATTGCAGTCTAGAAGGTTCTTAGAAACTTCTCTTGTGACTCGATATGTAAGTACCCTCTTGCTGAGTTTGGTGTAGCGGGGCAACTGCTATACAGTAATCACCATAAATGTCTTTGCCATAAATGTCTTTGCGCGTGTTGCCAGGATGATGGTGATGATCCTATCCACACTCCTGATGAAGCTGCTACTGATCCGGACAGTGAGGATCCAAACAGTGGTGCCGTACCAAAAGCAAAAGCAAAAGCCAGGCCGGCTGCGAAAGCCAAAGCACGTGGAAGAAACGCTGTAGTGAGCAGGAACAAGCGGGCCGTGGCCAAACCAAAGGCCAAAAGCAAAGCCAAAGCTGCAGCAGCAAAGAAGCCAGCAGCCAAAGCATCAGCCAAAGCATCAGCCAAAGCATCAGCAAGGGCTAAGCATGATGATGTTGCTAAGAAGATGCATTCCGCAACTCAGCAGCTGTGGTTTCTGTTCGGGTGACTCTGCATTTTACCAATAACCAAAATCACTGGCACAAAACACTCATTCTGAGGTATACTCCACTGCTTGGAAGCTGGCCAAAACTCGTGGGAGCACTCCCGATGAGTGCAAGTATCAAGCGGTTCTGGCCAGGAAGCTGCAACTTGCCAGCAACTTTAGATAGATGATGTGTGGTTCATTGCAAGAATGACCTAACTTTATCAACCCTTATTTTGTGGTCAGATGAGGTGGGCGCAAGAACATGGTCCCAGAGATCATGAGTTGGTGAAGAAGTGGATCTGATGCTGATGGCGCAGATGATATGAAGTTTGAAGGGGAATGGGGAAAAAAGAGCTTGCGGCCTGCAGTGTTTTTCACAACTTCAACATGAACATGATAAAACCTGGATAGATAATGGATCAAACCTGGATGCAAGTGGATTAGCATCTTCGTAAACTTTGTAAAAACTTTGCAAACTTGAATAACTTTTGTAAACTTTGTACAAACTTTGTAAAAACCTTGTAAACTGTGTAAAAACTTTGTAAACTTTGTAAAAACTTTGTAAACTTTGTACAAACTTTGTAAACTTGAAAAAGCTGTTGTAAACTTTGTAAAAACGTTGTACAACTTTGTAAACTTTGTAAAAGCTTTGAAAACTTTGTAAACACTTTGTGAGACTTTGTAGACTCTGTAAAAATTGAAAAACTGTGTAAATTCCGAACTTTGCAAGAACTCTGTCAAATTCCAAAGCTTTGTAAAATCGTTGTAAACGTTCAATACTGTGCAAAAACTGTGTAAACTGTATAAACTTTGCAAAATTTGTGAAAGCTTTGTAAACTATGTAAATACTGTGTAAAGTTTGCAAATGTTTGTACACTTTGTAAAAACTCCATGTAAAATTGTAAAATTTGCAATCTTTGTAAACATTTTTATAAACTTTGTACAAGCTTTGTAAACTTTCAATACTTTGCAAAACTGTGTAAACTTTGTAAAAACTTTGTCAACATTGCAGCAACATTGTAAAACTTTCAATACGTCTTTAATTGATTTCTTAATGGTAAAACCTTTGTAAACTGGGTAAACTTTGGAAATTGTTCAAAACTTTGTAAACTGTGTTAAAATATTGTAAACTTTGTAAAACTTTGTAAACTTGGTAAACGGTTGTAAAACTTTGCAAACTTCATAAAATCTGTGTAAAGCTTTGTAAACTTTGTACCAACTTTGAAAGCTTTGTAAAAACGTAGTGAACTTGGTATAAACTTGGTAAACTTTGTCAACACTTTGTAGACTTTGTAAAACATTTTTAAACTTTGTCAAACTTTGTAAGCTTTGTCAACCTTTAAACTTGTAAAACTTTGTAAGAACTTGGTAAAACTTTATTAAGACGTTGTAAAATTCGCAAACTTTGTAAAAAGGTTTACAAACCTTTTACGAAGTTTTGGAGTTCTTCAAATTATTCTTCAAAGTTAGAGCCACGTTTTACACAGCTTTTAGAACGTTTACAAAGTTCTCTATTTTTACAAGGTATACAAAGTTTACAAAACGTTCACAAAGTCTTAAGAATTTGTACAAAGTTTACAACTTTTGCAAGGAGTTGACAGAGCTGTTGAATTACAAACAAACTTACAAAGGTTTACAACGTCTACAAAGCTTTTATCATGGCCGTTCACTCACCACTCACGAGACAAACAAACCTATGATATAGTCCTTTGGGTCTCGTATGTTGCCACTAACAACGCAAAAAAACAAGACGTGTTTTATACCCTCTCTTAGTTCTGAACAACCAACTCTTCAGAGGTCCGCAAGGGTCAAAAACACTTCTTCTGCGCTAATTCCCCCGAAACAACGAACGACGGTCCCCAAGCAACTTAACATTTTCCTTGGAGGAGTGCTTGAGGAGGCGAATAACCCTTGATCGTTATTTGTTGTTTCAACATGTTGCAACTGACAATGCCCGCCGTTTTTGTATTGCATGCGCCATACTAATACTAGATGCCAAAACATACAAAACCAGCAACAGCGATTTGGATAGAGAGAGTGGGAGAGGTATCCATTTCCCATGGAGATTCCTTCTCCTGAACACTCACTTTCGACCGAAAACTCCTGGAAGTCCAAGAACACTTAAGAACACTTAACAACTGGTGCTTGGGAAATCGATCAAGCCCAAACTACAAACTTGAACACAAAAATCCTGCAAAATGCCAATCCAAGTGAGGGAGTGGGTCGCTGGCATTAGGCTAAAACGATTGAAACCACTAAAAACCAAAAAGCAGAAAATACGTAGACAATTCTTGGATTTGGAAGATCCAGGTTGTCAGCTCTTCGGATGGACAACCTATCAGGCATCAGGTGTAAGAAGCTGTTGGCCATTTTGGGTGCCAAGTCCACTGAGGAATGCTGGCGGAGCGCATCAGTCCCGATGTCGTCACATATGGCAGCGTCTTGGCTTTTCCGGGCAGACTCCTTCACGAATGTGGGTGACCCTGCCGACATTTGGTGGTCGATTCTGCTGCCACAGAAGCACAGAACAAAACTTGTGCCATCCTCGTCTACCATCGTCTACCTAATTAGGGTTCCCAGTTCATTGAAGCCATTTGGTGTGAAGTGGGACTTGTGGCTTTGATTCAACGCAACAACATGAACAACCACAACAACAACAACTGACAGGTACTACTACTCTTACTGTTGCTACGAGGGCTACCGCTACCACTAGATTACTTGTACTACTGACACCAGGACCATGACAACGACTAGTACGACCACTCCTACTATTATTGTTACCACAACCACCACCGCCACCACCACCACCACCACCACACCACCACCACCACCACCGCTACGACCGCTACTATGCTCCTTGCACTTCTGCTGCTAGGGCTGCTGCTACTGCTTCTACTTCTACCATTGCTAGCACCACCTCCAACACTACCGCTACCGCCCAATACAAGCATGACGATGGTGACGACAATGATGACGAAGTCGACTCACTACTATAGCTGTAATAACAAGAGCAGCAACAGCAAGAGCAATGAGATCAACAGACGACTCTTGCGAGGGACCAATGGCTTGACATGTGTCCTTTGAAGCCCACTGAGGTATGATTTCTGTGGCCAACAAGCTGGGACAAGCAGACGCGGCTGATGGATGGCTCCAACGGGCCATCAAGGAGAAGGTGGCTCCGAACAAGATTTGTCCCAAAGCTGCGTTAGGAAACGTGAGACAGGTGCGAAACGATGAGGGGGTGGTGATCCCATGAGCTCGAAAAAGGGACCAAATCAATTCTTCAAGCTCGCAGGGTGTGCTTGCAACAAGCGCCCCGCAGGAACAATCAAACCCTTGGAGCCCATAAAAACACTCACTCCTTCTCGCTCATGAGTGAATTCATTGATCTGCCGAACGGCACCTGTATTAGGAAGCAGGGATGTTCGGGGTGCCCCAAAACAATGAGGAGACGCGGTCCTCATAAGGTTAACAGCATCAGACACATACCGAATTTGTGCTGAGGCAGACAACGCAGCACGGGGACTTTTGATTCATGTTGGTGATTAATTGTGTTCGCGGTTTGCAAATCTTGAAGAAGATTGTTTGGAGTTATTGAAGTTTCATGGTTTCAGCTACCTGGCGCTCCAAGCCAATTGAACTATAGCTACTCAGCACTTTGCACCCGGAATCCACCATATAGGCAGCATCCACCGCAAAATATGGATAATGCTCGTTAAAGGCAGGGTCGCGCGACTGTACGTCACCGGATTTTCACATTGAGTGTTCAATGATGTTCAATGTTTGTTTAGAAGCAGGGTGTGTTTTAATCAAAGTTGCAATCTTGATGTTTGTTCCTCCGTTTTTGCAGCACACATCAAACAGCACCTACTCGTACTGTGCACACCTGTTAAGCAAAGGTGCCATTTGCGGTGCTATTGACGTTACATGTTTGACTGCATTTGCGTTGCAATTGTGAGGCTTTGGGATGGTCATCAGTGCTCTTGCCACGGCCAGTTCCATTGATGCTGCCACGCAGCGGCTGGATGACATGGTGGGGAATGGTTTTCCCGCCGAAGCCAGAGAACCTCGGAATTGGAGGAGATTGAGAGACGATTGAAATCTATGCAACCAGTGGAGGCCACACACTCCTAGCTGCGCACTTGAAATCCTGCCATGCTTGCATTCATCAGATTTGACTTTATTTGCAGTTGTTTGGCTCTATTGCGCTGCAAAGGGTTATACACTATATATATATATATATTATATACATAATATTCTAGGGTGTCCTATATAGCAATGATCACGCAAAGTGATTTTCGCTGAACATACACCAAGACATCCGACTTTAGGCTAAAGTCCTAGTTGTTCGCCCTCAAATTCACTCCAAGGAAGTCAACGCAGTGCTCAAGGCATGTGCTAGGGCGTCTTCATCTCGAGCTGGGGCCGCAAAGATCTTGGATCGCATCGTGTCGTGGCGAGTGCACCCAGACACCATGACGAAGAAGTACCTGGAGCGTTCCATGGGAGCAGATGCACTGGAGCGTGCGGCTCTAGAGCATGTTCTTGGCCTGCATATGTGGAAGAGTTGGATGTCAACGCGAATTTGTCACAGTTGGTGAAGGAGGGGAACTGACTTTCCTTCCATCCAGTGATGAGGATTAGTTGGACATGTCTTCAATCCCCGGTTGCCTCTCAACTGATCAACTGATGAGTTGCTCGTAGAGACTCATGATAAGTCTTATAAGTACTCATGTTCTACTACCTGGCTCACTGTGGCCCATGCATATCCGTTGGGCAGCCAAGGATCTCCACTTTAGGCAATTTTCTGAGAGTACTGAAGCCAGGGAGCCCAAAGTTCGGCCCCGTGCGCACACACTGAAGCCTGCAGTTCAGCGGCAGAAGAAGCCCAACGCCAAAGGGCAAAGTCGGATTTACATCAGGAATCCCTGAGCAGTGGCACCCACGTTGCTGTGGCAGCTTGGTGACTTTCTAGTGAAGACTCAAAGTCAAAGTCCCAAAAGGACCAACAGGGTGGAGCAATCCTTCCAGGCGGTCACCAACGAGGACCCAGAGTCCCAGAGCAGCAAAATGCCCACCAAGCGTCAACAAGTGTTTTGCCAGCCCTGCTGAACAGAGCTCGTGGGGTCCACCTGTGCTGCACCGTTGGTCCGTTGGCCTGCGCACAAGCGCAAAGAGATCGAGGCAGAGAGGGGTCCCACGTGGTTCCACGTTGGTAGTATCATTTCTATCAAAAGACTCAGTCAGGGGAGGCCCCCTTACCAGTCTTCCAAGGGACCATTGCCCACTATCGTCATTGTTCAACTGTTCAACGGAGGGTATAGGCTTTTGTACATCCTAGGCTCTTGGGCTTTTGCTCCAAGAGAAGCTTGGAAGCATAATGGCCAACCCACAAACAGCAGTGCTCTCGTGGCTGGAGCTGACCAAGCTGCTCAAAGCAACTGCATCCAACCGCTAGACCCGGAATTGACCTGAACTTTATGTGTGGAAGGGCTTTGCCACCTACACTCCTCTACGAACAGTGCTTTTCCACCACAGCACGTGGACGTGGGTCGAAGTGTGCACCGCACGTATGGAATTGGGAGGTCATTCTCACTTCATGCACCAAACACCGAGGTGAAATGCCCTTGTGAGGACGGGATCAGGGAGCGTTGTGCTGCGCGCGCTTCAGGAAGATTGGTGCGCGCTTGGATACGTAAATTTCAAAGCCACGGGCATGTTGACAGGTTTATGTGAAGGAGCCCTGTCACCATTGAGTCAGTTGGATCATGACCCCAATGGTGAGTGCCAGAGTGGGGGCTCTTGGAAACTGAACTTCAGAACATATCGTTCGCCAGTGGGTACGATTACAGTATCCCCTTGGAGACTGGAGATTCATGGAGGTTCTCGTCACGATTGTTCTTCGAGGTGTCTTGGATCGGACTTTGTCTTTGTCTTCATAGCCTGGCGGACAGTCAGTCCGGATCAGAATTGCAAGGAGCAGTATAAGATCGATAATTAGTAATCATAGTATAATACAATATATAACTATAACAGCGCCCCGCCGTCGGGCCGTGCTGCAGCTCAGCTAGGATACATTTCAACAGTTCTCCACTCAGTCGAACATGGCCCAATGCATAAAACCTCATAGGCCTTGACTCTGACGCCATGCGCCATGGAAAAGGTCTTGGTGATTGGCGCCGGCCTAGGCACCAACGCTGGATTGGGCTTGGAGGCTTGGGATTGATAGAGAAACTTGGGAAAAGCGGCGGGTGCCTGCAGGGAGATCAGATGGTAACTCCTTTAGAGCTCGCTTGCAAGAGCTCTGGGGGAACCAAAAAATACTTTCCCTTCGAAACCGAACACTGATCCACTTCGCACATCTTTGTGTGGGCACTCCAATTTTGCTTCTCGTGATGTCCTGCTGGTCCGTTGCTGCTCGTCCGTCCTCCTTGGTCGTTAGAGGTGCCCTTGGCTCATGGGAAGTTCTTGACCAATGGCCTCGGCGGCACGGTGCCGGTCTCCAAGGAGGCGAAACTGCGACGGACGACCGTCACGAGTCGAGTCTCGGTTCCAGTCGATCCGGTTGGACGCTGATCGAAGATCTCACAGCGAAAAGAGAGAGAGAGAGAGCTTATTGTATGCTGGTGGTGACCAACAATCCCATGCCCCAAATGTTAGGTGAGCATCCAGTTCCCAGTAATGAAACTTAAAATGTATGTTCCCTTCACTTTCAGGTTGTTGAGATGCAGCAGGGTTGATTGACTCACAGCCACCTAAAACTCCTGGGCCAGTGAGATCCAGTGAGCAAGAGAAGCCGGGGGGCATCATATTTCACCTGGTGCCCAGGGTTTGGGCATGTCATGCCATGTCCTTTTGTCAACATGATGCATTTCGCTCGGAAATGGCTAAAATATGTTAAAAATGCCCGCAGACGGAGTGCAGTAGTGCAAAGTGTTTGCAATTCTGATTGTGACTTCATTGCGGTGCGGGCCAATACCCCTTACGTCACCTCTCGTCTACAAACCAGCTTGTTAATTGATGTTTATCCCCGGAAGAAATAGCTAAGCAAGGTTGACCCATACCAATGCATGGAGGATGGGTAGGTGTGTTTGGACAGATTCTACAGACACAATATCACACACAATAAGCAGTACTCTCAAATGTTGAAGTCGTGGCCGTGGCGACATTCAATTTTTGAAGCGTTTACTTGGGTATTTGAATCTATGGAAGTCGTGGCGATGTTGCGTTTAGTTGGGGAGAAGACAAGGCAGCAGCGGCAAACAAAACGACGATCAAGCAAAACGCCGATCGCACAGGCAAACGAGTGGGAGGCAGGTGGGGAAACAAGTAAGGAGACAAGGCAGCAGCGGCAGACAAAACACCGATCACAGCGGACAATCGGGAACATTGCTTTGAATACATGAGAACTGTGTTGGGGAGAGCACACACCAAAAAACATTCACAAATCATCGCGTTTACATGCGGGAACAACGTTTTTGCAAGGACTATGCCGGGACCCCCTCTTGGCGTCGCGTTTGCATTGGGGAACGCATGTTTTTCCCTAGTACGCCGTGACTTCTGCGGTTGAGTGTATAAGGGTCAGCAGCCAGTGGATTCCTGTGGCATCCCGAGTTGGGTGAATGATTGTGTCCCTTCCGATGTTTCTTATGCAAACCCCGCCAAAGCACCAGGCACGCGCCCAGCGGGCCAAAGCTGCCAACTTCCCGGGCTTCATGGGAGAGGAGTTTGGGTACTTGTGGGAGCGTTAGGGGGCTCAGCCCGGGACATAGGTGACCTGACGATGGAAGGGCAGGAAGATGAAAGGTTGGCTTTGTTGGTGATCTTAACTTTCAGCAACAAATAAACATGTGTATCTATATATACATGTGTAAACAAATAAGAGTGACTGCCTGACACGATAGCGAAAAGTTTCTGAAGCGGGTGGTTCTTCCACTTCAGCCAGTTCCCTCTGGGATGGTCTCTGAGGTGAGGACGGCTATTTAGGGAACGCTGGCTTCATCTATGGGGTGCTCCTCACAGATCCGGACCTACAGGTGGACATGCTGCAGCACCCGGTGTCACAGGCGCCGGCTGCCATGGCGCAACATGTTGGGTAAACGGGGGGGTTTGCCCCGACTGCAACATGCAGATGGTCAGAAAACCATGCGTTTTACCGGGTTTTGGGGTTTCGATGTTGTTTGACGTTGTTTGCCTCTTTGCCCCATCCATTTCCTTTCGAACAGGATTAGTTGACACGTTTCGTTTTTTGTCCCGTCGATTGTTCGTTTGGCCTTGAGAGCAACATGTGGCAACCAAGTGTTTATCTTCCGCCAGACCTCGCCACACAAGTTGCTACTGTACAAAGAAAACATCCACCCAAAAACCGCTGTGGATGGAGTTTGTTACGATATGTTGGTTTGGTGTCTAGGGTCTAGAGGATTTGCAGATCTCACCTCCAGCAGGCTTTTCCATCAAACCAAAGGCCGGGAACTCCAAGGCTGCTTCGTCTCCCACGATGCCAAGGCAGATCGCCAGACCGTCCGTGCCAACCACCCAGAGGCACCGGAAGTGTTGTACCTCCTCGAGGTGACATGCTGGACAATTAATTTGTCAGAATGAATGCGCTGATCATTTAGACGGAAAGTTGAAGTTCAGGACGATTGACTTCACAAATGTTTAGTTTGTCGAACCGGCCTGACATGCATCAGTCAATTCAGCGACGGCGACTGCAAGATATCCTCGTTTTTTGAGTACTCCGACTCTGCACATGAAAACGCAGCACATTCTCATGCTGAGAGGTCCAACAACTGATCCGTAGCGATGCCCTTTGTTCCTAGTAGCTTCTTGTTACCAGTAGCGACGGCCTCTAACCTACTTGCGATGGCCTCCACCCAATAGCGTCCTTGTTCCTACCAGGCTACTCTCAAGCATCACTCATCGGGCCTGCTCAGCCATCCCAGTGGGGTGGGATCGGGCACACCATATACAACACGACCTGGTGGGTGTTGCGTTCCTTTCTGCACCTGGGACCCGGATCGCTTCTGCACGTTCACAAAAACACGTGCACTCAAAAAGGAATGAGACACCAGAACCTTGAAACCTTTCTTTCCATCCTTTGTTCATCCTTTTCCACCAAAGATCATCCTTTTCCGCCACCGGACGCACCAGATGGCCGATGCACTGGACCTGGAAGCAGCGGCCCTGAAAGCGGGTGTCAGCCAGAGCTATGCGGCCTCGATTGCTGGCTTGGTGAATGGCGGCCAGCGCTTTGGAGCGGCAAACCGTTGGTGGTGCACGTCCACCATGGGAGAAAAGCCTGGAATCGCGATGATGGTGACGTTCATGACCTTTGTTGTTGATCTTGTATATTCATGACATGACCTTTGTTTCCCTTGTCCTTCTTGTCGTTGTTTTTCGTGATATGTCCTGGTGGTGGTTCCCTTGGATTCTGAGCGATCGCCGAGGTACCAGGTGATCTTGTGTGCCTCCAAAGGCATTGGCCAGCTGCTGCTGGCCTTGCCGCCTCTTGAATTTGAATTGATGTGGAAAGTGAGAATGGACAAGGAACATGCATCAGCAGCAGGTATGGAAGGAAAAGTCTTTGGTGCCAAATCATTTGTTTGCTGATGAGGAGCTTTGATGCAAGAACCCTGGGCTCCCGTGATTCAACTGCCGATGGTACTGTGCAGATGTAGCATCCACCAATGCATCCATTTGCGTTTTGCTCTATTTCCAATCCAATCATCCAGGTCCTTCGCCTTCCCGTTGCCCTTGGTGCTCCTCAATGGTGCAGAGCCACCAGCGCCCATGGACGTGGGGAAGACTCCGGGCTTCGGCCCCGACTTCGCGGAGCTGGGCCGACAATGCGTGGGCCATCCCAAGGCACCGGGGGGGAGACGATATGGAGGATCAATGAGAATGAGACGAGGAACACATGGGGAACACCTCAGGTAGGGAGAATTGCAAGCAGTGGCATTTGGGCGTTTTTTTCAATGAGAGGCTTGGATGCTTGGGTGATTCACTAAGGGAATTGAAGAATGATTCACTAAGGGAATTGAAGAATTGTACCGCATGCATGCTATACTGGCATCTGCCACCTGCATACTTCCTCAGGGTCACATGGAGACCTCCGGCACCGAGGTCCCCCGCTTGGTGCTCACCAGCCACGGCTCGGAGGCGTCCGGAGCTGTGCGCCGGGCGGCCATGAGTGGCGTGGATGGTGAAGGTGAGCGGGCAACCTCCTCAAAGAAAGATGCTGAATGGTACCAATGTTTAATATCTCTATCAGGTACACTGGCGTAATGCATGTTCCGCTGTTTTGGTGTTGTTCAGGTGGCCCCCTCCAGTGACCACTGAAGCATTGAGGGAAACACTTTGTTGGACAAACATGATGCTGGGCCTCTCCACTTCCATGACTTTGGACGAAGGGCCTCTCAGTAGGGGGGTAGCCCCTATCCAAGATAGCCTTCTCTACGAAGAGGTTCTTTCCGCTGCCACGTTTGCTTCGTTGGAGTGCGGAGCTTCAGTGCTCCAGACCCTTTGGAAAGTGCGAAAGCCAACAGCTGGGCCACCAGCTGGGCCACTGACATCTAAGGCTCGGCACAGGAGGCATCGCAGCAGTGGCTTGGCGAACGATCACGTTCTAGGCAAAAGATGCACTGGTTAGGTAGGTTTGGCGGGACAACTGGGTGGGCTGAGTTTGGTTTTGCTTTCGTGCGATTGGATCCGTTGCATGGGCCTTGAGTCAAAGGCCAATCCACTCTGAATCCATTGGTTCGTTCCGGCAGGACTGCACCTTTCGGACAAAGCGGCATGGGCCAAGCATTGTTGTCCCCTGGCTGGTTGCTGTCCTCTGAGGAGTCTTGTGCTTTGCTCCTCATTGGATCACCGCTGCGTACCAAATCGGGAGAGTCTTGCTGCACTTGGGGACAATGGAGAGGCAAGGGCGGAGAAATCACAGTTCGAAGACGACTTGCTCCTGCACCGTGTGTTTTTCCCCCCACGCTACGCCCCTGCCATGTTTTCAGAGGAGTCGTGTTGGTTGATCCCGAGGAACCACTCGTTGCCCTGGTCTTTGACATTTCCGGAGTGCTGGCAGACAGGCCAGGAAAAACTCGATCTAACCGGCATTGCCAAAAACTGCTGTGTGCGTTTCTGATCGTTTCTTGGGCCTCCGACCGAGGCGAGGGAGTCGCTTCGGAACGCAGAAAATAGTTCGCTTCGGAACGCGGGAACGGTATCGCTTCGGAACGCGTGTCAGAGCTAGTAGGTTGGAGGCCATCGCTATACGACTAGTCTGCACTGTCTGCAACCCACCCCACCCCCCACCCCCCCACCCAACCCGCTCATTAGTTTGCACGGCAGAAGTGTGCTTTGAAAGGCCATCAAAACGTGTGTGTGTGTGTGTGTGTGAAGATGTTGACCTTGTCCAATCTGGCAACCCTTTCAGCACTTCAGAGTCGCACTGTCTGGTTGCTAACTGCAACCCACCCCACCCCATCCCCCCCACCCCACCCCATCCTTCATCCTTAAACCCTCCCCATCTGTGTGTGTGTGTGTCCCACCCTGGACAAAGGGTCTTACACCACCACTCTTCCCATTCCACACAGGCAGGGAGTGACAGAGTTTGTGGAATCACTGCCAACGAAGACGTCCACATTCTCTGGTGATGCATCGGGAGACGTCCTGATGTGTACCTGCTTCAACTTTTGAACACGCTGTCCAATCTTTTGGTTTGATTCATGGTGGTTCCACACGATCCTTTCCCCACAAACAGGTTTCCCACAGCCACTTTTGCAGCTGAGTTGCGCCGCTTCGTCACTGCAGTCAAGGGAAACAGCTTTTGTTCAAACACCTACAATTGTCTCCGACTTTCCGCCATGCTGTTCTATCGCCTTCCTTCTCACCGAGACAATTGCGTTAACTGAAAACCCAAGTTCGAAGTGTGTCCTGCTCAGCCGTCCCACTCGGGTGCTGAGTGTGATCCCCGTCACAGGGGCGCCGTTCTTGCATGGGAAAGCAACCACCCCAACGCACCACCGCTCACTGGATTATCACAGGAAGGCACCGACACCCTCACAGAATCAACCGCCACACCGGCCGCCGGGCCAAAAAACGGTTCTTGAAGAATCCTTCAGATTCCAAACTTCAGATCTCAGATTTCAGCATTCAGTTTTCTTTTCATGTCTTCCAATCATGTGCATGTTTCTATGTTCGCTATGTTGCTGCCGCGATTCTTTCATCGACAGAACTCAAGGATGGGCATTACAGCTCTTCAGCTTAATTCGAGATGCATGAACACACACCTACCAACAATTTTTGAAAAAAGCGCCGAATGCGGCGATCTGTGTGTGTCCCACCCTGGACAAAGGGTCTTACACCACCACTCTTCCCATTCCACACAGGCAGGGGGCAGTGACAGAGTTTGTGGAATCACTGCCAACGAAGACGTCCACATTCTCTGGTGATGCATCGGGAGACGTCCTGATGTGTACCTGCTTCAACTTTTGAACACGCTGTCCAATCTTTTGGTTTGATTCATGGTGGTTCCACACGATCCTTTCCCCACAAACAGGTTTCCCACAGCCACTTTTGCAGCTGAGTTGCGCCGCTTCGTCACTGCAGTCAAGGGAAACAGCTTTTGTTCAAACACCTACAATTGTCTCCGACTTTCCGCCATGCTGTTCTATCGCCTTCCTTCTCACCGAGACAATTGCGTTAACTGAAAACCCAAGTTCGAAGTGTGTTCTAAAGTGAACCAAAAAATCAGGTGCGTTGTGTTCCAAAGTGATCTCGCTTTTTGCTAACCCTTCCATGTTTTGGCAAGGGGCGTTTTGTGTTCCAAAGTGACCCATGTTTTGTGTTCCAAAGCGAACTAAAACCCTGTGTTCCAAAGAGAACTAAAACTTGTGTTCTGAAGTGACCCCGCTTCCCCGGAGGGACAGTCCACAGGTTTTGGCAAGCCTCCCCGCTTGGTGACACCTGCTGGCGCCACTTGCCTTCCACCAAGCGAGACCCCCACGCCGCTACTGGTGCTGCTGCACTGGGCGGCTGCTGGCTGCGCCGCTGGGTGGCAACTTGTAGACCTGCGGTGCGGCTGAGGTGCTGATCATCGGTCTTGTTCATCAAACCAGCAAAGGCAAACAGCACATCGCAGCAGCGTACCTGATTGTATCTTGTTGATCTTGTTGGTGAGCACTTCAGGTCTTTGTTGGCTTTATTACGCCAAAGGTCAACCAATAATAAGTCTTGGGAACATGAATGGAGCTACCACCAAATCCTGGTAGATATAGCCATTAAGTCTCGTTAAGTAGCTCCAGTGGTTCTACGCCAACAGCCGTGGAGGACCAGCTCTTGGAGTCGATCCCAAGCTTCCCGGGGCCTGTTCGCTTTGCGCAGCTGCTGCTGGAGCAGATGGATCTCACTCCAGGCTGGGCCGCGTTCGTTTTGATGGTGGGTGAAACGGAGATCAGCGATGGATCGATTCTCAGATCATCAATGCCGGTTTGCTCATCCCTTCCATCACTCAGGACAAGTGACTGAGTTTGTAAGTGCAGACTGCAGACTGGTAAGCATTTCCAAAGTGCAGCTTGGCATGGTCTGAACCTGTGGCCCCAGAACCGCACAAAACCGACACTTCGAAGACGTGTTTGGCAAATGCCCCACATTCTTCCGAGATGGACCGAGTCGAAGGATCCCACATTCTTCCAAGAAAACTCCTTCTGGTCACCCCTTCACCCCAATGTCACTCCACCAAGACTCATTTTCCTTGCTAGACTACGCAGGCAGCCGCTTCCGTGCTGTAACCCTCAAGAGATCTCAATCCTCTCAGCGCGACATGTGTCCACCAAGATGCTTGGACCAAAGGCAAACGGGAGGCATTACGGGGGGACATACGATGTCACGGGAGGCATTCTGGGACGGTGTAAAGCTTCAACTTTGACTGTGGGTCCTGGCAGCAGCGGCAAGAGCAAGACGAGCAAGACAGAGGTTTGCTGTTTTTGTTGGGTGCGGTCCATGTGGCCAGAAGCCACATCACTGGCACGGCTTCAAACATTTGTAACAGGGCCTCCACTCCCTGGACAGACCTTAGTTTTTGGTGGTTGCTATTCCTGACAGATGCAGCGACGGAGCTTAAAGTCTTCAGATCTTAAACTTTCAGACTATTGTTTCATATTGTTCCCAGGTCAGCACCCTTTGTCCGTACATGTCCCGCGATGGAGGTCTTTGCTTAGCGCGATTCCAAAGTATGTGCACATGGACTGTTGCCTTAGCATAGCCGTCGAATGCCGATGCAGATGAGACACGTCACATCACCAAGGATTGGATGAGAACGTTTATGATATCCTCTTTGACGCACAGGCTCTGACAATCTTGAATGCTCATATGCACCGCTTTTAGATGTTAGTCCGGATTTCAAACTCACCTACTAGATCAGCGGCTTGGGGCCCATTAAACATCGTGTGTGTGTGTGTGTCCAACCCTGGAAAAAGGGTCTTCCAACACTTTTCCTCA